GGGATTACAGGTGTGAGCCACTGCACCTGGCCTCCTTTGATGATTTATAAAGTTTGTCACCTTACATTTTTGCTGGCAACCAAGTGTTTATTTCTGAAAAATAGCTTATTGGTAATTTCAAAAATGGCCGTGGGAATTATAAACGGAAATAATAATAGTACCCACATCACAGGGTGGGACAGGAGTGCATGAAAGTGTCCTTGTGAAAATACTTAATATGATGCCAAACAGAGAATAAAAGCTAAAATAAAATTGTGTATTATTATCTTTATTTTATGAGATAAACAAAGAACAGGCTCAAAATATGATGGAATCTTTGGTACTAAATATTCCATTTGAAGAAATCCAGAAGCACTACTGGGTAGAAACAAAAGATGAATCACTCTGATAGAACCAATAGGAAAAAATGGCACTGGAACAGAAATAAGTGACTCAAAATAAGTTCAGAGGCTGCACTCTTTTTATTTTAAATTATAAATTCAGTGCTAAATACCAAAGTAAGCATCAACATAATGAACATAATGACATTAAGGCTTCAACCTCAACAGCTTCTATGCACATTAGGTTTGATTGACATACTTTATTGAGCTAGATATTTTCATCTTTGGCCTGTGAATTCATACTTTTGAACGTAGGTAAAATGCATTTTTTTTTTATATTCAGTGCAATTCATCTGAGGCCTATTTTTACAATTTATCAACATTATGTGTCAATTGAGTCATTAAGTGGAGTCTGGCCTGAATTAGGCCAACCCAAAGCATAGGTAGAAGGAACAGGAATCAGCATGGTGGAATGTTAATACCAAAACTTTGTATCTGATCCCAGTGTTAAAGAACAAGAAAGATTTAATGGCGTCAAAGGCAAAACGAGCCGCTAGAATAATAGCAATAAAAGGACAGGCACAAATATTGCACGTTAGGTGCAAGGAATAATGCAGTCTGGAAATAGAGGTGTGTAGTAGGAAGTAGAGGGATGAAGGCTGCAAAGGTGTGAGGGAGCAAGTTTATGAGGGGTCTTGACTTCATGCTGAATTTGTTCTGTAGCCCTTAGGAACTTGTGAAATGATTCGGAATTGAGAAATGAGGAATGACACATACATATTCTGGGAAGGTTACTTTAGGAATCTTACACATAATAGATGAAGTGGCATTTGGGTTAGGAGTGACAAAGTTTTAAACTGCAAGAGAAGGGTTGATATATGATGAGAGCCCGACTATGGGTAATGACAGAGAAAGGCAAACGGGATGATTCATCTGAAATATGTTTTTGAAACGAACCTGATGACCTACTGAATGAAGAGAATTGAAGCTAATACTAATACTTCCTAATTCTAGAAAGTATTAATAGGACTGGATGAGGACCAAATTTAGGAAGAAAAGGGTGAATCTAGTTTGAAATTTGTTGATGTTGATAATGAAATCCTTTTGCGTTTGTTACTATGACAAGGATAGCAATTAAAAGTAATGAAAAACCAGAACCGGAAGAAATTTTGACTATACCTGAAGCATTTGTAGGAGCAAAGATAGATGAGAGAAAAGAAAGACAAACAGTAACAACGGTGGGCTTAATTTACAAGACAAACAGGTCTGGGCAATGAAATGATATATTAATATTCTGTAAAGATTGCAGGCACGATAGAAGACTAGAACACCTAGATTTTATACATAAATCTTTCTAGGTATACATAGATTCTCTTTCTTGGCATCTCCATTCCATCCCGATCTAAATGAGGAATCATCAGCACCATAATAAGAGAGGAATTAAGTGAAAGCATAATAATTAATCTGTATCTGTATTTTTAATACCCTTAAAATGAAAAAAATTGATCTTACAAATGAGACATACATTTAATGGGTCTTCTTATGCCATTCTTTTGTCAACTCTTTGTATTACTATAATTTATTCACTCAAAAAATATGTATTTTAAAATCTCTTACTATGTTGCAGGCACAATTCTAGCACTGGAATGTAGCAGTATGCTGCACAACAGACTGAGAATCTCAAGAAATTTAATGATTATCCAGAAAATAACTTCCCCCCCAAAATTCACAGTAACTTTATTATGTGTTTACTTTCTCCTTCCCCTTGTCAAGGACAACTACAGCTAAACATACCCATTATTGTAATATACAACCTGCATTAGGCTTGGCAATTGCCATAGGCCAAGGGACACCTGTCTCATAGAGATAAGTGGGTATTATGATTTCAGCATAACTCTGCTAACTGCAAAATGCTCAATAAACATTTAAAGTGCCTCTGTAATTCAGTAAGTGAAGCCTGTATTTTATGAATAGAATTTAATTCATGTTCATAACTGCTTTAATTTTTCACATGATGAGAGCTTTTGACATTGCACAGTTCATTTTCCCAGAAAGCACAGTGAGTCCTTAAAATAATTATTTAACTAACCTCTGAGTGAACTAGCTCTGCTGTCACTGCTAAAATTTGGATGTACTCATTGTATTAACAGGTTTTGGCTCATTTCTGCTTCTTTACTTCCATCTTTGAAAAATAGATCTTGCTCTCAGTGGGCTACGTTGTGAAAATATAAAAGGTATTTTTAAAGATAAATCCCACTGTTACTGCTATTATTTCCTCTTGGAATTTCATTCTGGAATTTAACATAGTTAAATCTAGATGGCATTGAGGATCTTCATCATTGTGAGAAATTCCCTTATATAATGTTAGCTAGCTCACACTGTTAAAACTGACTGGTATTTTATCTCAGTCCCAGAAAAGTTCCCAGGATTAGAAGCAAATACAGTACATGCTTTTCTTCAACTGATCATTAAAATCCAAAATGTTAACTACTAACATGTTTGTAAATTTGTATTTGAAAATCATATTTGGACACGTTTTGATCTTATTTGAACTATGGCCTCTGTGTGTTATAAATCTTACTTTGAAAATTCATTGTTATTTTTGCTTATTTTCTGCTACTTTGATGAAAACAATTCCTCACTTCAATAAGACAAATTCCTGCCAGAATATCAAGATTCACAAGTTACCCAAAACACTGTAATTTCACTGAAATAAAGTAAAATGTTTCAGAATAGCCCTCTGGAAGAAATCCAGAATTTAAGAAATATTCTTAACTTGGATGAGCAAAATTTCTGTGCAATAGGATTCTGTTTCATTGTATTTATAGTTTACAGATGCCTTGAAATATGTTCTTTTCCTCTGAGAGAAGATGAAGAAAGCTAAATATCTATAGAAATTCCGGAGAAAGTATGTTTTAAGCAAAACTGTCTATGTGGAGAGAAGAAGAATAAAAATAAAATGAACAGATTTTTATTTTTCTCAGCACTGACTAGTTTCCTTGAAAAGGTTCCAGTAGGGGAAATCATAACATAAAATTACAAATAAGGTAGCTTGCTAAAAATTATTATGCATGAAAAACTTCCTCTACAGTGTGTTCCAGATGAAAAGAATTTATATCTGTGTTTCAATGTTAGTCATACATTCACGGCATAATCCGTTCCGTTCCATTATGTATTCCACAACCTTGAGATTAGATCTTGAATCTTTTTATACACTAGAGCTCCAAGATTTTATTTGCAGTATTGGCTTAATTTTTTAAAACATATGAATAAGATGTTTTGTATGCATTTTTATTTTTAACACCATGCTGTATATATTCCAGGCACACCATGTCTATATGTGATGGTTGCATTAAGAAAAACATTGCATAGTCATGCTTAAAGAAATGAAATGCAGAGTTTACTTCTCACTCTACTGAAGGTCAAAGTTTATTTCTCACTTTACTGTAGTTCAAAGTTTAAACTTCTCACTTTGCTGTCGTTCTAAATTTATTTCTCACTTTACTGAACACTGCAAGATATAAACAAATCTTTTTAAAAATAAACCACCAAGAGTGTACTGGAGATGAGGCTCCACTGTGATATTTCTTTGAGTGAAAATCAATCATGTGACTAGAGCTTCACAGACTTTAAAAACAAGCTGATTGAATGTGGTGTTTAAAATATCTGAAAAATATTGAGGCATGCATATTTTAACTTTGGCTTTGGATATTAAGAGTGAGCCCAAACCATCCTAACTGTGTAAACTACCACGTGGTTGACTGAAGCTATCAAGATGGTATTCCACAGTTTATGGCTCCCACCAGGCCACAGTATTTCCAGGCTCCAAGGTCAACAATCATCCAGTGCTTGTTCTCATAGCACCCGTCATTGGAGGAGGGTGTAGAGAGACTTATGTCCCTTTATTTTTTTCTGGGAGCTATAACGTTGCATGTTCAACTGCATCAACTTAGATAGACCTTCAGAGTTGCTGTTTCCCCGTATGGAAACCAAGGCAAGAAAGCCATCAAATGATTCTAAAATTAAAGAAAATAATTTCCTTCCACTGGGGTGTAAAACTTTATAAGAAATAATAAGATTTAGGTAGAAAAATATTTTCTATTTTAACTGGCTACATACACAGGACACTTCAGTGAATAGTTTGCAGATTCATTATTTTAGAAGCTTTAAATAGATAAAGCATAGCTCAAAAATATATTTGTGAATACTTTTCAAAATTATTTTATTTCTCATAGAAAAGTTTATACTGCCACTTGATTTGATTTTATACTGCTTTTTCTTATTTTCTAAGGATGTGAACTCTTTTAATAAAAATGAAGGACAAGTAAATTTGCCATTCTTATGTGTTAAACTTACATGTTAAACCTTAAATATGAAAACAACTATTTCCTTTATTTACAGTAAGACAAGCTAATGGTTTTGCATGTCTATTAAGTACATTCTACTGGGTTGCAGAAGTTTATATACAAATTTATTCATTAGAGTGAGGAAATGGATGAGAGAGTATATAAACAATAAGAGGTATGATGTGCTTATTGCAAATAGCTGGTAAAGACAATAAATACAATGCAAATTTAAAGGAGATACATTTCTTGAGGTTAGGCAGTCAGGGAGGGTTTTATGGGAAAGTAAAGAACAATGTAGCATTCTAAAGTGGAAAAACATTCTTTCATTCCACAGACTTTTTAAAAGTACCTCATGTACGCAGGGAAATCCGAAAACTACTGTGGGAACAATAGTGAAAAAGAGCATGGCTGTGGCATGAAGACACTTAGAGTCTGGTAGGTTCATCAGTTATTTATTGCCAGACAATGCTGAATTATGATAATCATAAACCTTGGTAGCATGCAATAGTAAGCATTTATTTAGTTTGCAAGCTCATGGTTTCAGATGATCTTGGCTGGACTCATTTGCTCCCACCTGGACTTGTTCATGTGTCTGAGGTCAGCTGTGGGTTGCTAGGGTTGCTCTGTGGATCTTGGTGGGGCCTGCTTATATGGATTGGGGCAGGGGGCAGGGGGAGCTGGCAGTTGGCAGATACCCTTGGTTGATGTAACTTGGGCATATTTCATTCTTTGGCAGGAAATTTTCTACTTACATCACTTTGACTAATATCCCATTGGTCAAAACAAGTGACACGGTCACTTTCCAGAGTCAGAAGAGCAGGATATAGCAAGATTACAAGGCAAAGAGCTTGGCTACTGAAGGGTGCAAAGCACTGGGGCCTTTGATGCAATCTCTCTACCAACGTGACTGAAATGTGAACTACAAGATTTGAATGCTTAAGGAAGGGACACATTCACTTGGGAATTAAGAGTAGAATCAGGATAAATTCAATCTGTCGTGGGTTCATGAAAAAAATTTTCAAAGTAAATATTATTTGAGTAGGATTTTGAAAAAAGGGTTCTATGTGAGAAAATTTTAGTAGATTTAGTGGAGCAAAGACACAAGGGTCAGAAAGCAATCAGCCAAGCCAGTGACAAAAGGGACAGCAATTTGATTCCACCCTTAGTTTGGGGTAGGGAAAAATCTTGAGAACAAGATTTCCAACACAGACTCAAGTGAGAGTCTAAATTGCTTGGAATGCTTAGCTAAAGGAGTCTGGATTTTATTTGTAGACAACAAGAGTCTTAAAAATTTGCAGAGGTGTGCCTTTTCTCAGGATAGCTGATATCTGAAGTGGAACTTGTGTTCAGCTGTGTAAGTTTACTACTACTTATGCTCAATGTATTAATTAGATCTACCCAGAGCACCCGCACTACATGGAATTTCTTTAATAATGATATAAACTGAGGTAGAAAGAGTTAAGATGTTAATGGACACTGATGCATGCAATTTTGAAAGTGACTTCTGAAGTATGTTGTGGTTTATTCTTGTTTCATACACTGATTTTGCAAAGTCTTGAAATGATTTTAGGGCAAATAGAAAAAAATAAGACTACTCCAGATAAATAGGAATTGTAGTTACTAGTTAAAAAGTAGGAACTAGAACAAAATACAAAGAAACTTTAGAATAAGTTACATCCTTTTATGTAATACAAGATCTAATGGGAAGAAAAAGCATATAGTTAAAATACGTTACAATACTTTTATGCGATAGAAGTGTTAGCAAGAGTTTTGGGATCCCTAATAAGAGAACTCTTATGTGATTAAATTTAGTGAACTACATCATAATTTCACTTGTACTTATTCTAGGACAGTCTAGCACAGAACTGTTTGGATTATGGAGTAGATGCCTTCAGTTTCCTGTCGACAACCTTCAGATCTTATCATTTCTGTGTCCACTGGCCTACTTTCAGCTGCACGTATCTGCATCACTTCGCTGGAGAATGTTCTCCAAAGCTGCTGATGTCCTTACTGCTTCACTGCCCATGTACATGGTGGTCTGAAAATGACAAGAAAAGAATGCCCATAAAGAAAGGCCTCAATCAATGATTGAAGGAATTGGCATGTAATAAATGTCTTGCTCCTCAATTGGGGTAACTCTTGAGTGGGTGTTCTATATTGTCTCCTAAAGTTCTTCAGCAAAATTGATTTTTCAATAAACTCACAATGGTTATTTGCCAGATAGCATACCATTTATTGACTTCCTTCTCCTCCATCTCTCACTTCCCCACTTCCTTATGGATGCCTCCTGGATCACCTCTCAGGTAAGCTGCTTGCAATCAAATGCTTATCTTGGAGTCTGGTAATGCAGGAACCCAAATGAAGACATATGGGATACATGTCATTAATTTTGTGTTAGCCAATGGAGCCATGTTTGACTAACACTGAAAATGATGCATATGTGCAACAGTGATGGGAATGACTAGAGAACCACTGAGACACAAAAGCTCTCCCGAGCCACACTTGTACCGATTTTCTCTTTTAAGATGCCTAAGGCTCCACTTTATCTTCAGTAACAAATTAGGATAACATTATCTTTTATGGTCAATGATATTCCATTCCAGCTCATTCTAATACAATTTGGAGCCTACTGAAAGTGATTTTTTAAACATAGAGGGATTTATCCTGAAAAAATAAAATTTCCTTTGCATTGCTTTTGTTGTCTAGGCAGTTGTACCAAGCTTAAGGTGGAACATGATAACCAGAGATATGTTCCATAATTGGTGATAAGAGACAGACATTAGCATAAGTGAAAGACCATTTTTACTTGGTCTCTCACTTGGGACTCATTTTGTAGTCCATCTCAGCCACTAAATTTTCAGAAAGAATCACAAATTTGATTTTATAAATGATCTCAAGGGACACTCAGTAACGGCTATTTTTTTCTATTTTTTGGGGGGGGGGAAGTGATAGTAATTCCCACATCTCAAGCTAAAATCAGGGGAAGTAAAGGCAGGAGCTACAGGGTCATATATGTAAAATCTTATTCATTGGTCATAGTTAATTATCTTATTGCTTACTAATTATATAACTGGAAGAAAATAGTCTTTTAGTGCAAGAATCAAAACTGCTGTGGTTTTCTCAAAATGAATGCCCATATTAAGACAAAATACAATGAATTAAAAATTTTCCTCACTTTAACCCCATAAAATTATATTCCCAAATTATATTTTTTTACTGAGTAAAGCTCTCATACTTTCCAAGACAGTTTGTTTCTAGCCCCTTGCAGCTTCCTTATCAAAGCACATACAAGAATAGTGAGTAATGTATAGAACACGAAAATGTGGATAAATTGACCTCCCATTAAAACAACCAGGATAAATAGAAAAAAGTCCTCAAAGGAAGGACTGAAGAGATGACACATTAAAAAGTACAACGACTTCCTTCCTATCCCTGGAACATCATGAGTACCTCTGTCAAAAATTGGGATGGTATCCTCCTTAGCTTTAAAATACAATGCCTGCATTAAATCCAGATATGAAAAAAAACAATCTTAAATTATTGGTAATTCTTATGCAGTATATAACCCAATGAAACAAATTACTTTTAGAAGTGAGCAGTGTCTGTTAGATGTCCAATTTTTAAAGTTGCTATTACTACTTCCATTTCATAGATAGTGAAATTGTGAAGTTAAGAAACACTCCTAGAGCTTGTATTTCTGGATCTAGAAACCATGCCATTAACTATGATATGATAGCTAAAAAGCAACAGGGTCCAGGAAGAATGTAAGATACCATCTGTTAATTTGAAAAGGAGATGAAGAGACTGGGAACATGAGGTACTATCCCTCTGGGCTACAGTAACTCTTTTGAACAGAGAATAAGACAGTCTTAATTTCATTAGATCAGCTTCAGTTATTCATATTTTATGGTACACTCTTAAATTTATGAAAAGAATAAAAATTCAAAACAGACATTGCCTTTGAAAACACATGAAGTATTTTTTTAATGTCATTTGTTTTGTCTTTTTTTCACACTAAGAGATTTGGAGAAAATATTCCTCACTACCAGCTCTCTTTAACTCACAACTTCATATATTATTGCTATAATCTGATTGTATGAGTTTTCATTTGCCATTGTATAACAAACCACTTCAAATCTCAGTGGTTTAAAATAACAACTTACTATTTCTCATGAGTGTGTGGTTCAGCTTAGTAGTTCTGCTGATCTTGGCCAGGCTCATTTATGTATCTGATATCAATTTTGGGTTTTGCTGGGACTGAATGATCTAGCATGGCTTCAAAAGCACCATTTGATTAGTCTACATATCTCTCATCCTCCTGCAGGTTAACCCAAACACATTCTTATGGTAATGCCAGGGGTTCAAGAAAGAAAGTGGAAATACCCAGGTGCTTTTGCAAAGCTTGCATCAGTCAAGCCACCTGTTCAAGGAAAGAATCAGTGCAGGATAGCACTACCACAGAATATAGTTGCCAGGAGGTGTGAAAAAATGGGGACATTAACAAAGCCAATCTACCATAATACTTAAAAACAGTTGGTTTTCCTTATAGCTCTTCTAATAAGATGTCATAAGTTGGCCAACTTTGGAAACCACCATATTGTCATTAAATTGGCAACTTTATATTATTTGTAGACAAATAACACTCCAGTCAGTCCCCAAATTAAGATATTTTATTTCCCATTGTGAATAATGGAAGTCCTGCAGGTGAGTTCATTTCCCTCCACAGTTCTAGTCCACTCCAATAGAGACCAGAATCATAAATAGGAGAGAGAGCAGTCCAGTCCACTTTGGCCTTACAGCATTGGAGGGTTTTCAGCTGCCAGTTGAAGCTGCCATGTCCTAATTTTGAAGCGACTATGGATGGTAGGGCAGCACCTTGTCTCACGCCATATTCTCCTCAAAGTCAAATTGACCCTATGAGGGAAAGGTCTGTGTTCTTTTAGTCCCTTACTTGGAAATTTTTCCAGGTTCTATTGGGTCCCAAAGTGGTTGATAGACACAATTCACTGTTGGTAGCCCTTTGGTGGAGATTAAGACTGCAATGGAGTAGAACTAATGGCCACTGTATCTTTCACTGATTCTCTTCTACAGAGGGATGTCCTGCAGGCAGGTGAGATTCTATCCACACTAGTGAAAGGATCGTTGCTGGTTAGACACCTGGAAAGGAGAGACGCCTCCTACCATCAGAACGATAACTGAAAACATTCTTGGCTTGTTAGGATAAATGAGAAGAGACATAAATCCTGGCTATTCGAATTCTCAGTGCCCAGGCCTTTCAGTTCATATACAGTAAAATTATCTGGCTTCAGGCAGACGTAGTTTTATTACTTAAATAATTCTTACTTCAGAAACACTAGACTCCTCATGGATTGCTCTGCTAAACTCACATATTTTAGCTGATTTTCGGATCAATTTATCTCCAGACTTATAACTTTATTTCAAGTTACCTGTAGCCCTCTGCTGCTACTGGGTCTTTGTGGCTGTCACTGTGGTTTAGCCTTATCAGTTTCTCATTTAGCAGGAAGCATGTGGATGCCTTCTTCCCAGGAGATCCAGAGTACCTTGTATAAATTAACCTGCCTCCTCTATCTGAGGCTAGCTCTGACAATCAATTACCTTCTCACGGCACATTCCTTTGAGCATTACAAATCTGCCTAAATAATAACTATTTAAAACAAACTTTAAAAAAAACAATTTTTATCATCCCAGTCATTGGATAGGCAGAGATAACCAGGCGACAGGCTCTCTGAGGTTAAGCGTATAGCGTTCAGAGGATTGAAAGGCTTCATTCAGGATCCCAAGTTTGTTCCATTGTAGATGTGGTCCCACATTTCCACACATAAATCTCAGTCCATACTTCATTCACTACAAATACACACATGACAATTAATAACATAAATGTCCATATATATGAATGTATATGAATAATATAAATTCAGCCTTAATCCATTCATGAACCCTTTGATCAGTATCCATCTTGTGCCAGGTACAGTGCCAAGTGCTGAGTTATATCAGAAGAAAATGAAGACAAACACGACATGGTTTTATTCCTTGAGCACCTGTCTGCTTTTAAGGCAGGAACAGCTATAGGAAGAAATGAGCATTTTGGCTTCAGTATATTTGTTGTTAATTTTGCGCAAATGTAAACACATATTGTTTATCATCAGAACTCAGAGAACATGGGTAAGTTGTGTGCAGTTCACTAGGCTAAAACAGTTTTTAAGGCTTCAGAGATGCTTTAAATAAAAGTTCCAGGACAGAATTTATCACAAGCAGGGCTATTGCGTACTTAGAAAAGATAACTAAGGTGAGTCAGCTCCTGGCTTTTTCTTTTGATATGACTCAGATGACTGTGATTTTGCCAAAGTTATAAATGGCCAGCAGGCCCTTTGCTGAAACATATTTTCTTTATCCCGAACTGTAAGTTTTACATCTTCTACTTTGGCAAATTTTATGCGCATCACTAGAAGAGGCCTTTTAGAGAAAAGGCATAGCTGCATGTGGAGCAGTGATACCCGTCTCATTACTTAACATCCTCATTAGTACCTTGTTTAAATTTCATCTTTGGAAATCTCCATATTCTTTCAACTGATGTCTACATTCAGCGCTAGAAATATTATCAAATAATCTATCCCACTTTTTTGCCATTAATGATTTCACTTTGAGCCAGACTTGATACCTATAGAAACAATTGAGGGTTAGCATATTATTTAATTTTCAATAATTTGAAACATAGGGTGATAACAATTTCTGAGATTTATACTCAGACCTAAAGTAAAAGAGACAGAAGCAGAGTAAAAGAATGGCAGGGGGAGAGGAAGAAAGAGAGAGAGAGAGAGAGAGAGAGAGAGAGAGAGAGAGAGAAAGGAATGAATTTTCTATCTAGATTCCAGAGACACAAAGGGGCTTAATTCTTTGACAATATTAGAAGAAAATAACTTTTCTTCCCATTCAGTTGAGTGACCCTTGAAATATGGAAAGAATCTATTATCATTGTTTTAAAGGCCCGAGGCAGAACAGTGTATTTAAAACCATATGCCTAACACTTTTAGAAAGCATGAGACATTACAAAAGAATGTAAACCATAAAAGAGAATCATATTTCAACATTTAAGGAATTGATTTTACTCACTGAAGGAGTTGGTGATGGGTATATTCCCAATAATGAGCAATATACTTGACAAAAAGTGATTGTATAATGCTTAAAGTGAGCCAACCAT